ATATGTACACACACACACACACACACACACACACACACACACCTACGCACACAAATGTGAGGGGTGGAACGGTTTTTGACAGTTTGGACTCAACCATTTCGGTTTGTATGGGGCTATTGCTTCGGTCTTTTTAAAAAGCTTTTTTTTTTTTACCCTAATGAAACAACAAAGACTGAATGTTGGTTGACGCTAGCTTTGAGGACAGGTTAGTTTGTTAACTGATCCCAACTGCAAACATTGTCTGCATCTCCCCTCATTCAGTTTGAATATAAATGAATACGTTTTGTGTGTGTGTGTGTGTGTGTGTGTGTCAGTGGCACGCATGGCTACGGCAGCGCGTCAAGACGTGTGTTATATCCTTCCAGTGATGCGAAAGCCAGAATTGTGAATTATCGTCACCGAGTCTTGACATATCGTGCCGTAAAAAAGTATTTGCCCACTTCCTGATTTCTGTGGTCTTTGCATGTTTATCACACACAAAGATTTCAGTTCATCAAACCAATTTTAATATCACACAGAGACAACCCATGGAAATACAAAATGCAGTTTCTAAATGCCATTTTAATTTATTAAACCACAAAAAAAACAATCAAACACTACCGATGTGCAACAGTAATTGCCTCCACCCCCCATTGTAAATCACGAAGTAACTGTGACTAATGAGAGTTTTGGGAAAGCTGAGTTCAATTTCACAGGCAACCCCAGAGCAACACATTTGTTGAATCAAATAATCACGTAAATAGAATCTGTCAGACAAAGTGAAGTAAGCTACAAAATCTCACGAAACAAACACATCATGCCACGATCCAAAGAAGTTTAAAAAAAACAACCTTTTTTTAAAAAGTTACTGAAATCTGTCAGTCTGGAAAAGCTATTTCCAAGACTCAGGGGCTCCAGCAAACCACTGTCAGAGCCATTATTCACGAATAGAGAAAACTGTGAACAGTTACAAACATTTCCAGGAGTGGTGAACGACTAAAATTGTGTGTCTCAATGACTCACCAGGAGGTTGTAAAAGAACGATATTCAAAGACCTCCAGATCTCTCTGGCCTCAGTTCAGGTCAGTGTTCACGACTCTACCATAAGAAAGACACTGGCCAAAAATGGCATCCATTGCAAAGTTCCTCGGTGAAAACCACTGGAACACAAAGGCTCATTTCATATTTGCCAAAAGACATTTTGATAATCCACAACACTTTTGGAAAAACCTTATGTGGATTGATTCGTCAAAAAGTGAACTTTGTGGAAGATGTACAGGCCGTTACATCTGGCGTTAAAATGGCACAGCATTTGATTAAAAAAAAAAAAAAAAACAGTGAAGCATGGTGGTGGCAGTGTGATGGTCTGGGGCTGATGTGCTCACTCAGGACCAGGACAACTTGCTGTGATTGATGGGACAATTACCGTATTTTCACGACCATTCGGCGCACCGTATTGTTGGGCGCAGTCTCACTAACGGGTGCTATTTTGGTATTTTACACATAGACAAAACGCACTGTATTATTGGGCGCAGTTTTACAGTGGTAAAACATACGCCAGCTTAAACATACGGCATGCGTGCACGCACGCTAAAAACACGTTAGCTTGAAGCATACGGTAGCATGCTAAGACATACGGATACACGCTAAAAACACGTTTTTAAAAAGGCAACGGAAGCAAAACTGAGTTCGGT